GGGATGGGAATGGGGAGGGGTTTGGGGGGTGGGGTTGAGGATGGGAGATGGGGATTGGGTTGGGGGATGAGAGTTGAAGGATATAGGAATAGTGGCAGGGTTGCGGGTAGCAGGCTCACTCAGAGACAGAATGAGACATGTACATGATTTAGTGATCCTCCTTCTTCTTTCTGTTGACTTAAAAGTCTGTAGTTTTGTTCAGATGCTGTACCAAACAAGCATCGAGGAACATTAAGAAAGCGCAAAGTAAAAAGGGAGTAATGTCCATTTTGTCAGATCAACATCAAGCATAAATACTTCAAACAGAAAAAGTATAAATAAATCCTTGCATTTTTCACAAATGCTTTAAAGTCAATGAGAACTTTTTGAAGGTGCAGTCACCATTCTAATGTAGGGTGCACAGCCACCACTTTTTACAAAGCAACCTCCCACAGACAGCAAGGCTAACTGAACAACCAGATATTGAGTCATTTTGATTGAGGGTTAAAGATGGTCCATAAGTGAGGCTGACTCTTCAGTTGAGGGAAGGACGGACTGTCAGAGGTGCCTGAAAGCAGTCTGCTCACTGTCTGCCCTCTCAGGTGGCAGGAAGAGATCTCCTTGATAGCCCTGTTGGGACAGATAGCAAGGGAGGTCTTCCTGTCACTCCACACCATTGCTGCAACTGACTGTTTATCTCAGTGAGGTTTGGAGACCTCACTGTTTGTAAATTGCTGCTACATTTCCAGCAACAGCTGGGAGACAGTGGTGTAGTGGCAGTGCCACTGGGCTAATAATCCCAAGGGTCCAGACAAATGCTCTGGGGACAAGGATTCAAATCATTATGGCAACTGGTAAAAGTTCAATTTAATTCATACAGTTGGAATGAAAAGCTGGTCTCAATGATGATGCCCTCAAAACTACCATCAATTCTTGTAAAAACCCATCTGGTTCCCTAACCAGGAAACTGCCATCCTTACCTGGTCTGACCTACACGTGACTCCACACCCACTGTGATGTAGCTGGTTCTCAATCAGCAATGGGTAATAAATGCATATCTCACCAGCAATGCCCAGATCCCGTGAAAGTATAAACCAGTAGAAGTGACTGCTCTTTCTGGAAGTCCAGTTTTCACTCTAAAATCACTGGGGTCCCCCTGAGGTCAGAAAAGCTGTGATAGAAACAAAGGTTATTTAAAGGGACTGAGTTATTCTCTCTCCCAGGCATTGTTCTCTTGAGATCCTAACAGTTGTTGGGTGGTTGTTCTCTTGGTACCTGAAGTCCACTGGCACCTCACCCAAATGGCTATTCTCAGTATCAGGCTCTGGATTGTCACTGTCAGGAACTGGATCCCAGCTGGAAGTCCAGCCACAAAGTGATTTGAACAGCCTCTGTGTATAACTGCTGCCAGTTTCTGTCTGTTTAGACACTATGGTCAGAGGGCATCACAGTGTTAGAGCATTAAACAAAAAGAAAATCCGATTTCTAGCAGCTTTTCCTTCTACACAAAGTGGGCACTCTATCATATTATGGACTTTAACCACACATTTCATCTCCTCAAACAAAGTTCTCTGCATGAACATAATTGTCCTGAAAAATGATCAAGGTGGGAACTCCAGGACATTTAGCTGTATAGTACTTCCAGTTAATCTTGACCTGTTGCTGTCTAAATGATAACTTTCCCCACCTCACGGGAATCATTTGCATCAAGTTAATTTTAGCTTCAGACTGACTGCTCATACAGCTTCCAAATTGTTCAGTCTGGTGACTACTCTTGGTGTGAGAGGAATATTTCCTGACACTCATAGGCTTGTTTCTCTTTCCTGTCTCTAGTTCTTCATATTGCTCCTCCTGATCCTTCTGATTGAAGTCACAGTCGCCATCATCGTTTTCTTCTATGAAAATAAGGTAGGTTTGATAACTAAAAACCAAAAGAACTGTGCATGCTGTACATCAGAAACATAAACAGAAGTTGCTGGAAAAGCTCAGCAGGTCTGGCAGCATCTGTGGACAGAAATTGGAGTTAACATGACGGGTCGCGTGACCCTTTCTCGGAACTGTTCTGAGGAAGGGTCATTCAACCCGAAACGTTAACTCTGATTTCTCTCCACAGATGCTGCCAGACCTGCTGAGCTTTTCCAG